ACTACAACGAAACTCACAAGGAGGGCTTCGCAACCAATCAAGAATGGCCTCGCATTTTGAAAATGGTTGTAAGCAATCACGTCTTTAATACCAACGTGTTTAATTCGTCGGACAAATTTGTTGACATTCGTCGGACAAACCTGACTGCAAGGCATACATTACTCCTTGCCTTACATTGGATGGCGAATTGAAATTCAAGCTTGTTCCTCACGACGAAAATATAGCACATTCTCACGCAACGACTCCATTCGCACAGTAAAAATACAAAACTCAACGGTCCAGCAATAGTAAGCAGCTAGCACCAACTGATTTCATACATCAATGGACACCCGGGGGAAAAAATCACACATTTTTTAATGCAACGGATTCACATATCGACATAGAAAAGTGGCTACCGGAAATTGGACTTGCACTAAACACAGAACAATGAATTGAGCGGCCAAAGCTCTTGAAAGAATCATAAATGGTGAGCAAATGTTTGCATTTGTTGGTGATCACAACCATAACGTAATGAACTTGTAAATGGTACTAGAAGATGAAAACTTCGCCGCCCATTTTTCGAGGCGCTCTTTAAGCGATCTATGAATTCAATTGGGGGAAACAAATTAATATAGCCTAGTGTGCTTATAACAACAAAAGAAGCGATAAAATTACTGCCTAAAATGATAAAAAAAATAAAATTCACGTATAGTTGGCGCCACATTCTATGTAATAGGCGTATACTTTCCACTTAGTCCGTTGCAACGGAAAACAAGTTTGCATAGAATGCAGCGCCAACTATATGTGAATTTTATTTTTTATCGTTTTAGGCAATAAATCTATGGTTTTCTTATGGCTTCTTCCCGCAGATGCGGATGAGCCATTCGTTCTAGATTTTGAAACTAACGATGAGGCTAATGACATGTACTTCCGTGTTGCCGTGTCTACATCTCGAATGCTTTCAAATTGTGTTGGCCAAAATCAAATTTGTGTTCGACAGTTATTTTCATCAAATTAACAACAGAAATTGGAAGACACAGAAGAAATTCTCGGTTATTTACCACAAGATATTAAAAATGAAATAAATCGAGCATCAAAACTTGTAAATACAATGTAGACACAATGTAGATTCTCAATTGACCGTAACCTCACTATTTTTTAGACATGCAAATTTACTGCAAATTAAAAGGCGCAAGTATTGGATGCTGCCGAAAATCATGTCGAAAATCCTTCCACCTCCCCTGTGCTTTAGAAAGTCATTGTTTAGTTCAATTTTGCGGTAAATATGATGCATTTTGTCACCTTCATCACGGTGTGGAGCGATCGTCAGTTCATAATAAAGATGATACTTGTTTGCTATGTGAAAAAAATATTAACGAATTCAATTCAGTGACTTCAATTGAAACAAATTGCTGTGGTAGTAAATGGTTTCACAGAAGCTGTCTTGGAAATCTTGCTTACGCAAAACAAAACAAGTTTTGCTGCCCAGAATGTGGCGATACCGATAATTTTCGAAATTTTATGCTATCAAACGGAATTTATGTCTATGAAAAGTGAGTAAATTCGCGTTAATTCGTAATTTGAAATGAAATCTATATTCTTTCAATATTACATTTTTCAGAGAAAGTGATTTGGATCTGTGCATTGAAATATTTCCAACCAATTCGGATAAAAGCATTTAAGCGAGAGTCATTATATTTCATATGTGTGCACTTTTTCTGATTTAATTGCTGATGACAAAAGTTGCTTCGATGATACAAAAAATCGGAAGTATGAATTTTTGCATTCAATGATAATTCATAGTAAACAATAAATGGATTTGATTTCTCAACGGTCATGGTACTTTTATCTTCCAGCCATTTCTTCAACTCATTCATGTTGACTCGGCCGCTACTATCTCTTTCAGCACGAAGACTTTTCAAAAACGAATCAAATTTATTCCTATCAGGCAGTTCGAAATTTTTCAGCATTAAATTATTTAAAATATGTTTAGGCTTACAAACGCCCATGTCAAACATATCTCGAATTGCAGTTTTTGTGTCGTTCACTATTTCATAAGAGTTACAAGATGTGCATTCTGCTCATGATCATGGTCATCGATTGATTTAACTAAATTAACCCTTTGTCGCCACGAATCAAACAGCAAATACAAACTGGCTGAACGTTGTTTTTCTGCGCGAAATTTAACCTTATTACATCTAAACAATTGGCGCATCCCGTCGTCAGAGTGTGTTTTATAATAAGCAGACCATATTTTTATTATATATTATAACTTATGTGTAAGCATTAGAGTAGTCCAAAAAAAAAAGTTTTCGGTATCGAGATTCCCCATCCAGATTTGGATAATAGGATACGAAAAAACATATTTGAGACCATTTTTCATTAAAAAATTTCATCGGAAGCACCCGCCCAAATTTTTCGAAATTTTCTAGATTAACGAATTTGGAAAAAAATTAAAATCCAGAAAAAATGCTGTAAAAAATACGAAGTGGGGGGTTTTCAGCACGAGAAAACCGAATATGACGTAAGTTTTGCGATACGATCAATGTTTGATACATTTTTCGAACAAAAATCTGAAAAAATCACCAAAAATGTGGATTTTGTATGGGAGCCATAATTTTATGGTCTCGTAATGTCGTGAAACTTTGCGTAGGCATTCACATAAAAATAACATTCTGAAAGTTTGAAGAAATTTCAATACAAATTGAGGGTACCTCCCAAGCAAACGAAGGGCAATCGCACTTTGAACACTGCAGTTGTGCTGCTCTCTGACATTTATAAGTTCAACCCTATGTAAAGACATTGCTTTCCTCTTCTTCATTTGCAAGAAGCATGTGCGTTATAGCAGCTTAACTTTGAGATACCAGGTGGCAGCACATCTGCGTGTTCGAAACCCAATACATTGCTTTAAATGGAGTGCGAGCAGAGCGTGCAAGCAAAATTTTCGTTAACACAGTCAAAACCTGTGAATCTTATTTTCTTACCAAAATACATGATCCCAACAAGTTTTACGAAATTTAAATCTGAAAAAGGGGTACCTCCCAGGGACGTATTTGGGGATTTTTTATGACAAATTTCGAGGTTTTTATGCTGTTTTTTGTTTGACCCTACCCCCCATACAAAATTTTCGATTTCTGGCTCAAACGTGATTTGATGATTAAGTAACAATAAATATTGATTTATTGGATTTTGTTGACTCGAATTTTATTAGATTTTTTCCCAAAATATATGTCTACGGTAACTTAATCACCATAAAAACTTGTGAATCTTATTTTCTTACCAAGATACATAATCCCAACAAGTTTTCAGAGTTTGCGAAATGTCTGAATCTATATTTCCAATAGAATTTTATAAATAAATTTATTAAATATATTTGTATGTATAGGTGAGCCGAATGCGAACGAAGTGTGTGGACAGCGGCGACGAATTATATGTGAAAGAGGCGCACACAGTGAAGTGATCGTTATTTCTCATATTCGCTGCATGAAATCCGACAGAAGCATAGCCGCTTGTTTTTGTGAGAGTAGAAAGAACGAATATGAGAATGAATGAGTTGCGATAGCGTATTGTGTGCCATCTGTATTGCCGTTTCTTCACTCTCATATTCGCTATTTCTGCTCACGCATATGTAAACCGCTATGATTCAGCCGAATTCTACTGCGTATAAAAGAAATAGCGAGTACGTCACTGTGCGTTCTCGGTTCTCATACAATTCGTAGCCGCTGTCCACACACTTCGTTCGCATACGGCTCACCCATACATATAAACACATATTTTGAGAATAAATAATGAATTCACAAATTTCGCAAACACTGCAAGTTTTAAGACATTTTAATCAGAAATACCCTATATAGGGGTACCCCCCATACAAAATTTTCAAAAACGACAATTTTGCATGGGAGGTACCCTCAATTTGTATTGAAATTTCCAAAGAGAAGGAAGCCAGCACAGGCAAAAAAAAGCATTATTGACGCAGTAATTTTTTGTAAAAAAAATTGTTTCAGAATAAATTGAAAGTCATTTAAAATTTTGAAAAATAGATGATTTTTTGTGTTTCTTTGTTTCACTTTTTGAGCCAGCTGACGATATATATATATATGTAACGATTCGATATGTGATTCTTACATTCGTTTTTTTTAAAAGCGATACACCATTTTTTAAAATTGGAACTTTAAATTCCCATATTCTGCACTCTTGTTTATAATAAATAGGGTGATTGATAGAGAAAACGGGTAGGAAGACCAAATAAATCAAGTTATACCCTATAAAGTTTCACAGGGAAATCAACATCATTCATTTCAAACAAGAGTCATTTCTTCCGTAAGTGCCATAAAAAATCATGAATGGCGCACAACTTTTATTAAATGAATTTATTCACAACAATACAATAATTTTTTTCTGTCTTTTTAAATATTTCACAATAAAATTATATCAAAAATGTTAAAGCACATGTACATATCGATAAAGAAATAAAAGAGAGGAAAAAGCGTTCAAACCGTTTGAGATTTCTATAATAAATTGCACAAAGTTTGGCATGTCCTAAATTTCCGAACGTTTCGTTCAAATCACGAGTTTTTTTCTTCATCGGCTGACAATAAATTGTCGAGAAAACGATACAAAGTCATTAAAATAGAGTGTATGACCATCATCAATTATAAATTCAGTGTTTGAGCGATTTTATTTCATGGGTGGTTGTGTGATGCTAATTGTTTAAAATAATCACATGTTAAGTAACCAAATGTGGCTTCAACGTTGTTAAATTGACTGGATCATCTCGTGTTGCCGAGTATGCTTCACGCTCTTTGTCCGGATATTTTGTTGGTAAATTTGGTGAGTGTAAATTTACTTTTGCTGGATACCTTTAGCAGAATGGATAAAAAGAAAATAATTAACTTAATAATTCAATTTACCATATTCTATAATATTTACCGAACGCCAGCAATTTCAACTTCATAATCGCCACTAAGCACATATTCAGTGGTAACAGGTTCTTCTTGTCCATCTCCATCAATCTTCTTAATGAAGCCCAAGCAAACGGGTTTTTTAAACGTGTACCTAGAGAGGAATAATCAAAATAATCAACAAATAATCGAAATAATGGAAACATATAATGAAAATGAATATGTATACCCGTAGCCAGTCGTCGTCGTTTGGCCACAATAAATGCCATCGCGTAAAATGGGTTCGCCACCCCAGCACCATGGATCAATATCAACGTCATGATCGTTCAATAATAGTTGAACATACTGTCGCCGAACGCCTTCATCACGCTGCTTTAATAATGCATCTTTGCCGATAAAATCAACACCTTTCTGCAATTTCAATTAAAATTATTATTTATTTCAAAAAACATCGATAATTTTTAGCTCCACTTACATTGAATTTAACACGCCAAGCTCGTCCGCATTCCAATGGCGTTGTAAAAGTGTCAAGATCCTGTCCCCAATACGCGTAGAATTTTTCAATGCGTAACGTTCGTGTGGCGTAATGGCCAACATGTTTGATTCCATACTTTTGACCAGCTTCCCATAATCTTGAGTACACATGCATTGCAAATTCATTTGGTATATACAAAACGTACCCAAGCTCCCCTGTATGGGTCAAGTTCATTGTTCGAATGCCATCGGCGGAACCAATGTCCAATTCTTTGAATGTGAAAAATGGAAAATTCTTCGCCGATAAATCCGTGTCCGTTAATTCAGAGAGTAAGTTTCGTGTAAATGGTCCGAGTATGCAAATGGCCGTGTAAGTGGATGTTATGTCGGATAAATTGACACTATTATCTTTTGGCAGAAATCGTGTAATCCATGTTTTACAGCGCATTTGCTGTATTGTTGGAGCAATCATCATGAAATGATTTTCAGCCAAACGAGCAAAAGAACAGTCATTTTCATAACCTCCGTGGATATTTTGCATGCCAGTGTGAATGATCGAACCAACTGGAACATCAACATCGTTTGAGCATAGATATTGCAATAATTTAACAACTTCATCGCCCTTTGACCATATATCCATTTTGGTGAATGAACTGTAATCAGCGATGCCGACTTTTTCACGGCACGCATTATATTCGGACGCAACAATCTCAAACCAATGCGGTTTTGAGTATGTATCTGTATCACCCGCAACAAATGATTCTTCAGTCGCAACAATATCATCTTTTGAATAGTGCATGCCATTTGGATCAAAGTAATTCGGACGTTCATAACACATGGTCGATCCGAAAATTGCAGCGCGCGATTTCAATACCGTATAAATCGGCGACATTCTCAAATTTCGACCAGTTTTAAACTCATGAAACGGATACGGGATTTTATAGTGCATGGCAGGCACCTCCACGATACGATCACGTAAAAATTTTGCATTATTATGAATGCTCAGGAATCGTGATATATCCAATTCGTAGATATCGAACTTCGAATAACCCTGGATAATAATATCGGCGATGGCTTTACCAGCACCACCAGCTGCCGATATACCTACAGTCTTCATTCCGGCCGCAACCAAATAGTTTCGGATCTCAGGCGATTCGCCGAGGATCCATTTACAGTCCGGACTGAAGGCCTCTGGCGTATTTATCAAACTTTCCACATACGTATCTTTCAATTGTGGTACTCGCCTTAGAATTTCTTCCAACAATGGGTAAAATTGATCCCAATCGACGTCTAGCTCACGTTTATTTGCTTCCACTTCAAAATAAAATTGATTTTTTTAAATCAAAACTAGAGCTCAATATCATCAAAAGGAGAAGAATTGAATTGAAATGATAACTCACATGGAATTGTCACATTTTGGAAGGCTGGTTTTGTTTTTTCATCAAAACCTCCGGCTAAAATACGTCCATCCACCTCCCGAATATAGATTTGTCCATCTAAATCGCGAACAACCGGCATCATTGGATCTAAATTTATAATGGGTTTCGTATGCAAAAAATAGTGTTCGCCAGGTTTTAGCGGTATCTTTACTTTCGGTTCAGACATTTCTCCGATAGATCGTGCCCAAAATCCAGCACAATTTACGAAAAACTCGCAATGAATTCGGCCATAGTTTGTTTTAACCGCACTCACAAAGTTTTGTTTGTGTAAAATTTCATTCACTATACACTTTTCAATGACAGTCACGCCGAGTCTAACCGCCTCAGTAATCAATGTATCACATATATATTTCGGGTGTGCAACTCCATCCTTTGCGATATTGAAAAGAATAAATGAAAAAAAGTGTAATTTTTGAGTTTCGCTGATGCCACATTCTTAATTCGATCTTATTTCCACAAACCTTTGGAATCCAAATGCCACCAAGCAAATCACTCGTTTCAATTACTGAACATTTTTCGCCGCATTGTGATGGTGTTAGAATTTCACACTCAATTCCCCATAATCTATTTGCAAAAAAATGGTTTTTTTTTTAGATATTGTAACATAAACAAAGCAAAAAAAAATCACAACATACGCGCTGAGTGACTTCATCCGGCGAAATTGTGTCATTCGATCTCTGGTGCGTGCCAAATTCAATGAACCGCATTGTTTCCAGCCCGTTTTAAAACCCTTTGCCGTTAAGTCTTCGTATAATTTGATTGTTTGTTGAGCCAATAAGACCTGAGAATAGGTCGGTTTGAACGCACCAACCAAACCGCTTGAGTGCCACGTCATACCGCCACCAATTCTAAACCACATTTTCATGAACGAGAAGGAAAATAATGTTTAAATATTCAACAATAAAATAATAACAAACAAAAACCAACCGATCTTGTTCCAGCAGCACAACTTCATTTCCAAGACCCTTCAAAGCGAGGTGATAAGCAACAGCAGCTATGGCAATAATCAAATCATGAAAAAGCTTCAAATAATGTAAATATATATGCGTTACCATACCTCCCATGACACCGCCACCACATATAACAACTTGCGCATTCTTTGGAAGTGTATTTGATTCATATTTGGTGCGTTCTTCTGCTGCCGCTGCTGCCGTTGACAACATTGGCGAATTGACGGTGTGGATGCATCGGCTCGATGCCGGTGTGAATTTGCTATTTTGTACATTTTGTGTAAATCGTGCGTGTGAATGACAACGGCTGCCGTGAAAATAACCTAATGATTTTGATCGAATCGTTGGGAACACATTTGTACTCTGTTTATGATGCAAGCGTAAACAATTCATATTGACTAGCTAACCGCTCCAACCAGTGAAATCTATGTATTGTCAAAAAATTAACCAAATCTTATTGTTTCCATTTAAATTGACAAACAACACAATGTGTGAGTGGTGTTCAGTGTGAGCACGAAATTAAAATTGAACATTTAATCCAAATAATTGACCGAATGTCTTTTTTCGTTGATTTTTTTCACTCTTTGTGTCTCCGTCTCAATATTTTTGTTATTCTGACAGTCGAACGTCATTGCAATTTCTTATCAACACAGTGAATCGATTTGACATTTTGCCTAGGTTTACACCAAAGACACGAACCACCCAAGCAAAGACTAGCAACTTTGGTATTTTCGAATGAGCTTTAAGTTTACTTTTACCACGAGCACCATCTACGAGTGCTTTGCTGGAACTATTCACACTGACTTACCAAGAACGAAATCGACTTGATAGAGATCAAAGTTAAATAAATGTATTATGTAGTCGTGCGCATATCTTGCAGCACTTATTGCACCGTTAAGATATCTATGTAATGATAGTGATAAAATAATCAAAGCAATCGAAATGAAAATGCGATCAGTGTATACACTTAGTAATCGTTATGCATTTTATTTGTATAATTTTCATTTGTATCTCTGAAATAGTGTTTGTTGTTGTTTTTTTTTCTTTCGTCTTTTGATGTAGCATGTGGATTGGATTTTTTTGTAGTTTTCATTTTACCTTTTGTTCTTTTTTTAATTGTTATGATTAAATTACGATTAATATTACTTAAATTCTTATATTTTATTACACATAAAGTTTTTATTGTTGTTGCTGTTTTTTTATAAGTGAAATCTGATTTTGTCTCTGAATGTCGTCGATCATGAATGCCATGCTTTGCATCCGTGGACGAAGAGAATTCGATTCGAATACATAATATTGCCAATTTTTATTATTGAGTGGATTTATATCTGGTTTTATTTTTATCTTATTCTGTTTATGACATTGATATTGATTTTAGTTAATTTAATTGTGAATGAACATATGTGTGGTTATACCATAAAATTTGTTAATTGTCTTTGCCTGAAGTGTTTTATATTTTTTTTTCTCTCTCTCTCTCTATTTTTTCAGTTGCATCAATTTATTTTCATATCGTTTATTTTTTTTTAAATCTTCATTTTATGCAATTTTTATTTATAGACAATTAGTCGATTTTAACTGTTTTTTTTTTGTTCGCTCTGATTTTGCTTCTGTATATGTGTTTGTCTCTCTCAGTGTGTGATTTCATAGAATAATTAATTAAAATAGAGTTTTTTATGTTTTTTTTTTAAATATGATAGTTTTGCTCTTATTTTCTGGCAAATAGATTTCCATCTCTGATTCAGGGAATGGGATTTTGTTTGGTTATTGTAAATTGTCTGAAAAAAAAAATGTTCGAAATAATTGCATGACAATATGCTACAATCAATACTTATGTTTGAATTGGATTTGATTAAATACACAAATTCCATAATTTTAAATCTGTATTCTTTTCGCATTAATTTTACAGCAAACATTTAAATTACTCTCGTCCATTAAATTAGTAGTAGTTGTAATTTAGTTTAAAGATTCTCTTTTTGTCATTCCGTATTTTCTCTAACTCGCTGCGTATATTACGAAAATTCTCATTCAAAATTGTCTACGTTTTTTTTTTTTTGTTAAAATTTGCACCATAAATTTTTTAATCATCTTTTTTTTTAAATACTTGTTTAATTTTGCTAATTTTGTTTGCTCACATTTTTGTTTGACCAAAAGACATGCGTTTTTAATTTTTTTATACATCCAAAGTCTAAAATCGATTTAATCGAAAATGAACCATTTTTTTCAAAAACAAAATTTCGTCCTCGTTTACCATTTTCATCGAATATGCATAGAAACCGAACGATTTTTCACGAAATCATAGTTCATTCCAAACAATATAACTTCCTTTTTTTTGCAAAGAGAATCTGCGTCCATTTCCAAAGGTTACTCATTTAATGTGTGTGTTTTGCTCTTGCTCTCTCTAACTGTGCGCTAAGTTTAGGTTTTTTGTATGTGCTAAAATTCAACTCTGTATTTTTTTCTCACTTACAATTACGGTATAAATCTACGTAAATCTGAAAACGACAAAATCTGTCTGCATTTAATTTTTTTAATTAATTAATTTTAATGTTTTTTTCTTTTTATTTATTCTCCTTGATTAAGTAAAAGTGTTTTGTTTTAAATTCTGCTTTTAAATTGAGTAGTTATAAAACGTATATTTCAATATGTCTTTAGTTTGTTTTTATTGGTATGTAAATAGATCAGTACTCTACTGAATGCGAAGAAGATGCCAATCAAATTGGAAAAGTTTTTTTTATTCGGTTTATTCTTATTCCATTCGATCCGAAAAGAAATGTGTTCAAATTGCATTTGATCCAAAGCATTGCATAGCACTGAAAATTCGTTAACTCGTTTTCTTTCTGTCATCTCAAAAGACTCATGCTATCATCATTTGAATTTCGCGGTTTTTGTTTTTTCGTCATTTTGTTTTTTTTTTTTATTTGTGGATTTATTTTCGGATTTTGTTGATGGATTTTTCTTTGCTTAATTATGATAATGATCATTGATATTTGTATAAGACACGAAAAAACTGAAAAACATACAATACATACATGTGTGCATTGAAAAACAAAAAATCAACTCAATTCACTTAACAACGAACAATTGATATTGCAAATCTTTGATGTCGTATCTCTCTCTCCCCCCACATTGTTTTTAACTATTGATTTGATACTATTGGTCTATTGGTTTTGTTTTGTAGTTTGTAGTTGTTGTGTTGATTCGATATTATTTTTTCTATTGTTTTTGTTTCGGTTTTCTATTGAAAATTCATTTAGTTTGTATCACAGATGTGCTCTTAGTTATGGAATTGAGACAAAACATAAAAAAAAAAACATTTTCACTATTTCTTTCTCTCTGTTTTTTCTTACTCGGTTTTTTTTACTATTGTTAATATGTATTTGCTATTTTGTATCATTTGGGTGCCTATTGTCAATTTAACGTTATTTATAATTCAATGATTGGATTCTGTATTCCGTTTTGTTTTTAAATGAACAAATATAACATGGTATGTCTATTGCAGATATTTTGTGAATCTCGGCTCTTGTCTGGCGGTGTGTTTGTGTTTGTGTGTGTGTGTGTATGTATATATATTTGATGAGAAAATGCGTTGTTGTACAAGAAGCAAGAAAAAAAATATATGTATGTCTGTGTGCTTGTATGTGTCTTTGAACTGTTATGCAACAGTTCTTGAAATGGAACAGAAAAGTTTACATTTTTTATATTCTCTCTTCCACTCACAGAACGAAAAAAAAAATGAATTGAAAACTCAGTTTAAGTTGAAAAAAAGTGAAGAGAAAAATTAACTGAATTTAAGAAGAATGAGAAATATACAATATTTGTATATAGTATATAGAGTTCCAAAATGAAATGCAGAAACAAAAAAATTAAGAGAGCGACGAAAACTTTTTGATTATAACATTTAAATATCCTTCGGGGAAAAATTCAATTTTGCCGTTGCGCTAATAAATTGTAAATTTTTAGCATTTTTCGCACTGAACTCGTACGGTAAGTGTACGATGTCCATTTGCGCGCCATTCACATTTCACACAATCGTGTGTATGATGCGCTGTGGATGTGCTGTGGCGATGCATACACCAGTGACCATTGAAATGATTCAGTGTTGCATGTAAATTGCATCCGTTGACGCGTTGTGCGAGCCTCTTTTTCCAATTTAATCCGATTAGAAGTAACGAGCGCGTCTTTTTTCCATTTCTGTCATTCCTTCTCTTTTTGAGTCTCTTTCACTTCACGTTCTTCCTTTTTTTTCTCGCCTGTCTCGTGTCCTTTCTCTTTCACCAAACAGAAGCGATACTACTTTTCAACATATCTGTCTCTCTTCTATTTACTGTGAGAATTGCCATATTTTTTTTCCGCGGTAGTAGTAGAAAGTAAAAATGAAGAAATTTTGTTTTTCGAATACTTTTTCATGCTTTGCAATGTGCTCACTTGTTTCACAAATTCGCTTTTTGAATGCAATTTTAATTTGACGTTCTCTTTAGATCTTTTAATTGTATTTATTCAACTTACTCTTTCTCTCCCCTTCCTTCTCTCTCTCTCTCTCTCTCTCTCTCTGTTCCGATTTGTTCGTCGTTAATTTATATTTTAGCATCTACGTTGTTTAAAGTGTAGTTTGAGTCGTTTTCATTAATATTTATGATGTGATGCGAAAAATGTGGATCGTCCATGTCTTTATTTTAAAGTCTCATCTATTTTTTATGTCTCTTTTGTTCTTTTTCATCAAAATAGTACTTTGTTTACATATTAATTTTTCTCAAAGGAAACAAAATCTACTTTTTGTTTTGCGCAAGTAATTTTTTTCTTTCGCTCTCCCATCGAAAAAACAAAACGGAAAATTATTAAATCTCTATTTTTATTTATCCGCTACATGCAATATTTGTTTTTTTTTGGATCTTCTGAATGTACTACTGCTTTTTGTCGCAAAAATTCGAAAACGAAAGCCATTTGGTTTGAAATTGCAACCGTTATGCGTGCCTTTTTTTCATATGATAATACATTGTCAAATCGTATAAATCTGGTTTCAATCTAAATATTTTGAATATTTGATGCGCATCGATAAATTTAATTTATCTTATTTTCAACCATTTCTTCTTCCTTTTTTCCATTTAATCGTTTTGAGCGCATTTCTTGTGTAAAAAGTACCACAAACATTTTTGATCAAAAGCAAGCATTTTTTTGACTGACCGATCGTTTTGAATTTCTTTTGTTTTTCTTGATTCACAGAACTAAAAAAAAGGTATTATTTACACAAATTAAATCGTATATATTGAAGAAAAAAAAACTGCTCAAAGCAACAGAAACAATTACAATTCAAAAATCGATTCTATCAACCAAACTGAATATTTATAATAATAATAGTAATACTTGAGTTTAATACTTATTGCCACAGAAAAAGAAAATATCTAACTAATCTCCCATTTTAAAACAGAAAATGGACGAAATTTCTTCAATTAAATAGCTAAACAAAAAAAAAAAGGATGAAAAAGTTTCTCTCTTTTCTTTTTCTTCATAAAACCCGCAACAAAAAACGAAAGAATGACATTAAATTCCTTAAAGAAAATTAAAACAGAAAGTGATTATGTGTGACACAGATTGTTCGATTGAAAAACTACACATATATATAGATATAGATACGCATGTATAAAGTAATATCGAAAATGTGTGTAAAATGATGCGCCTTGTGCCGCGGCCAGAGTTGAAAAACAAACGAACCAAAATAAAAACTAAAAACTAAAGAAAAACACACACAATTATCATCATCAATGTTTTATGTTGTTAATAGCTGTGAAAAGTGATTTGCCTGCTCTTGGCTGCAGAATGGAATCATCGTTGATGGGCAATGATTCCATTTTTAGAAATACAGTTATCCTTTGTCTTTACCCGACCCAACGCTAACGCCCAATAAATGGTCGCCGGACATCAAACCGCTCGGTTGATGGGCGTAGTTTCGAATTTGATGCAATGAGATCAATTGATTCGGAAACGAGTTTGTATTTTGGTTAACGTTTTTGTTTGGAAAACTGATCGCATCATATAAATACGGTCGCTGTGCCATCGGATGATGTCCGATTGAATTAAGATGCGGCGTCATCGAATTGATCGGTGTGAATGCTGAATTTGTGCTGGTTTTTGTATCGTATGGACCTGGAGTGGCCGACGATGATGGTGGCTGTTGTTGTTGTGCCAAATGACGACTCACCACCAAATCTTCGCCAACATCGTCACGATGACTTTCAATCAATCGATGATGTGATTGTAAATCGTTTGGCTGATGACCGCTACTCATGCCATACTCGTGCGCTTGAGCCTGTTGTTGTGCCTGCAGTTGATTCTGTGTTTGTTGTTGTTGCTGTTGCTGTTGTTGTTGCTGCTGTTGTTGTTGCTGTTGCATGACATCGGTCAAACTGGCTGCCGAATCTGGGCTCACCTTTGGCCAATACGAATTTGCTTCGGCAACGCTTGGCAATGGATTATTATTCAAATTCAAATTGTTGTTTGCATTGTTATTGTTGCGATTATTACCACTATTTGAATTGGTGGTGGTATTTGTTGTGGTTGTTGTTTGTATTTCCGATATTGGCGGCCGTTTGTCAGTGCGTTCGGCATGCTTTTGCATGTGTTTCGTTAAATACGTTTCCTGTGTGTATGATTTACCACAATATTGGCAAATGTGCGTCTTCAAATGTTTGGAATCCTTGTGTTTTGGAATGTGTTCGAGAAGTGATGGTTCGTCGCCGAAACACTTGTAGCATGAATTGCATTTGAACGGTTTATCGGTTTGATGGCATCGCGAATGCGATTGCAAATTTGACAATTGTGAAAATGCTTTTTGGCATCCGGTGTGACGACACTTGTATGGTTTATCACCGGTGTGAGTTCGAATGTGCTGTTGCAAGTGTGACAATTGTGTGAATTTTCGTTGGCAAATTTCACAGCGATACGGTTTAATGCCCAAATGAATGCGAGTATGTTGCGATAAATAGCTGGAATTGGCAAATGCCTTCGAGCACTGTGTACATTTGTACGGCTTAGCCTCACGCATATGAATCTGTGTGTGCAACTGTAGATCGGCTTTTGAGCTGAAAATCTATAAAAACATAGAAATTTGGATGGAAGAGAAAAAAAAAACATGCAATTTAAAAACAAATTTTTTTAAACGTTAAAATATCGATTCGAGTCTAAAAATTACTATCTTTTAAGCATATATTTTATTTATTTTCGCTTTCAAACGGTGTTTGACCATGAAACTAAATGGCGCAGTTGCCATCGGGCAAATTAAAGTACTTGAAAGTAAAACCGAATTCAAGAAACCATTTAAGGTCATACTCTTGCTGCAAACAATTTTTAATGCTCCAAATTACCAATTCGATACAATTGTAAAATATTGAACGACACGCTGCCAACAATTTACTATATCGCGGCAATTCAATGAAATCGACAGTAAATTTTGTTGCCAACATTCAAGCGAAACCTTCTCCCCATACGAATGAAAAAAAAAAACTGAAATAAAAGTCATCATCAATATATGACTTGAGATATTTGAAAAAGAACACACTTAACAATGAAAGAGTGTGAGTGAAACACGATTTCCTGTATGCGCACATTGTAAACAACACAAAATACGAAAAATTGCAATTCATTGTTCCTATTCAAACAGAACATTTTAACTGAGTATGGATTATATCCACCTCATCATCATCATCATCGCTTTTTTTTAAATTGTAAATGTGGCAAAGATTACTCATTATTAATGATCTTCGCAGAAATTACTATACACTTTACCTTATTCATCGCATAACTCATCAATTTTTGCACCGACAATTACAAAATAAGTCAAATGCGTTAAAAATCATTACGCCAACCATTTTTGAAATAAAGAATGAAATCAAAATTCACGAAAATATTGTTCAAAAAATCTTCTGCTGTTGATTTTATGCCATGCTAATTTTGAGTTTCGCTTTTTCACAAATATGGCATATTTGAAGCGATAAAATTGAAGTGTATCCATTTGAGTCAGCCCTCAAATTGAACTTAAAACACCAAGCGTCGACCACATTTGGTGTGTATTTGGAAAAGATTCATTTCGAATTGACAAGCAAATCATTTTTATTTGAATACTATGCATTTGAGTTTGAGTACCAGTTCACATGCTTTTAATTAAATTAAAATAGACAAAGAAAAAAATGTGACGCTTCGACTGCATTTGAATTAGTTGCAAATGGTTTTTTATTTCATTGGTAAAATGAATACACACACACACGAAATCATGTGAATAGGCGAATATGTAAATTATGCTGCTGATAAAAATGTTGAAAGTTGATTGGATTGTGTGTATGTGGAAACTGGATTTTAAAATACATTGCGTCGTTTGAACTACTTTTACCGAGAGACAGATAGACGTGGCGAGGTGAATAAAACTACTCAAAATAGCACTTAAGCAAGTTGTATAATCAACAAACCGCTTTAACTGTTTGTGCTTTATTTTGAAAAATTAAATGATATTTTTTTCGGTGCCGCAATGAGAAATCCATTGAGTCTAAAATGCTTCAAATGCTGCTCTTAATGAATGCTTGATTTTTCTGAATTGTAAATATACCCATAGCACCGCCTGAGTATATTGAGTGTTGAGCTGCTTGATACATGAATCGACTTTGTCACTAACTGTACTATGGGGAATTAGCTCAGATGGTAGAGCGCTCGCTTAGCATGTGAGAGGTACCGGGATCGATGCCCGGATTCTCCAAGATCTTTTTTTTTTCATTTTCGTTTTTCGTTCTATTTTGATCAATCTTAATTTTTTACTTATTGATAAAATTACGAGTTGAAAATATTTAAAAAAAAAATATTTTAAACTATTAAACAGCAAAATTGTGTTATCTACACCATTCATTCGATTCAATGTTGAATTTTATCAAAAAATTAATAAATTTCATTACCATTTGGTGTGACATGTGCTAAATATAAAAGCAAACACACTTTTATCATTTTCGTTGGCAGAGTTTGGAGCAGTTAATTAAAAATAACTGGCGAATCCCGGTCAAGAACATATGTGACGCTGCTTTCGGTATCATTCAAAAAAAATTCCGAGTCACATGGTTTATAATGTATGAAATAAAAAAAGATCTTGGAGAATCCGGGCATCGATCCCGGTACCTCTCACATGCTAAGCGAGCGCTCTACCATCTGAGCTAATTCCCCGTCTGTAGAAAGTGTAACATGATCGATCCATGTAACGATTGAATGATTTTCTGAATCGGACATATTTATAATGCTAAATCGTGTACTAAATTTTAACATATGCATAAAATAAATTGTTCACAAATCAGCAAAATTGATTGAGCTCGCTACGGCACGCTTAAAATGTTGATGCGGAAAGAATACATTCCGATTAAATTATTGATGACAATTGAAAATATTTGATGAGACACGGAAAATTGAAATGTGGAGAAAAATAACAAGTAAAATGAAATAGTGAATATCGTATCTATAGCGACACATTTAGTGACAATGTTGTTGTTGATGGAATTTGAATGTTACACTTATATGAATGCAGTCGAAAAAAGAATTCGAAATGCACATATGAAAAAGCAAACACGGTATATTTTTGAATAAGACTTAATGCGAAAAATATGTTTTACTTGATATTTTGATTACGTCAATTCTATATAGTTTTTTATAGAATAAGTTCTTATTGCATTACGACGGCAGAAAATTATATTCAATAAACTTTTTTTTTGACATAAATAAAGCCTCATAAAATCAAAAATGTATGTTATGATAAAACTTTTTATAGCTCACAGTAATAACAACAACAAAAAGATCAATACATGAGATGAATGTTGTAACTTAATTTAAGCGCATTCATATTGAAGAAAAACTTTCGAAACGATTCCAATATTTACTTGCACTTCATTTTTTTCTGCCGTCGATTCATTTAAAAATTCATACAATTTATGAATGTGTTACATTAATACACAAGTGTCTCACTCAGTTTTTAAAAATGCATAAATAGTTCATCGCCGTTGAAAGTGCAGTTTCTATGTTTATACATAAAAAATGCCAAATTATTGGAAAATCACAATTTTGTGTGAAGAAGCATGTTTACAATATTCATAACGCTAGAACCATATTATTTTTTGGATTAAGACTTACATAGTTAGATATACATATTAAGTTTAACTTGAGTGCACTGAAAAAAAATTGAATATCAGAAGACGAGATATTCAAAAGATGGCTTGAAGTTGATTAGTATCGCCATGGTTTTCTGGTTTCAAAATAATCCTATGATTTTATCGAGATAATGTTGATATGCAACTTTGGCGGAAGCACTTAATAACCTTTTATCAATTAACCATCAAAAGATCTAACACCTTATGAAACAAACTGTCAGTCTATCAAAAATTCAAATTATGCAAAACCGTTTATTTTTTTCGTGAATGCCAACGCGAACAGGCACTGATTACAACAAAAAATAACAATCAACTTTGTTGGAATAAGCATATGCGATAGTGAACATTTGTCATTTAATTAATTTAAAGACTCCAAAAGACTAATCCGACAAATAAACCATTTCTATTTGTAGAAAAACCAGGACTATGACATTTTGGGAGTGATTGATTAGATTTTTTTAAAAATCTTTGAATACAATAGATTAAAGAGCTTGTGAATATTTTAAAACTAACCCACATGAGATAGAGTCAATTTGAATTATGTTATGCATAAAAATGATTAAGCATGTCATTTAAAAAGACGTTGCTGTGAATAGAACTAGCTTCAAATAAAATGCTAAAATCAAAGAATAGAAGTTGTCTGTTTTAATTACATCTGATTTCATTTATTTATAACGTTTACCGAAAATCTCGTAGACCAAAACCATAAGGAATTCTGTTAAAAATGAAAATTTTCTGGAACAAGTGAAAACCAAAAGGCGTCAAATTTATCATGTACACATTTGGTAAATAAGTGGAAAAACATGTAACCTGTCTGAAATGTGACAATGTGTGTGTATAGGTCTGCATATGTAAATTTTATATCTTTTTGAAGTGGTGTAAATGAGCGACGAATTGAAGAGAAAACAACAACAACAACAAAAAAATAGCGAAAACCGATTATGCTGGATTTAATGCAATCATTCTATGGCCGAACAGAGCAAAAAGACAGTTTCGTACCTTTTTCGAGCCTTTTTTGCGACCGCGTCCATCAGTTAGCGGTACCGGCGGTGGTGTTGAACTGGGCGATATCGATGATGCATTGTATGCGGAATCAATTTCATGTTTTTCGACTTGTTTTAGAACCGATTCAATTTTATCATTTTGTTCGTCAATCAGTGCACTAACGTCGCTCTTCAAATATTCCATGCCATTGTCATGATGTGACTGATGATTGTGCTCGTGTGCATTATTATTGTTGTTATTGTTGTATAATTTGTATTCTAGTTGAAGTGCGGCAGCGGCAGCAGCGGCCGATGCACTCTGTGGACCAGACGACGGTGATGATTTCAAATCGGTGTTGTTCATGGCAATGTGATTCAAAGTGCCACGTTCGTTAAGCGACCGCAACTGATCGATGGATCGATGCATGTGATATAAATCGGTGGCGGGTATCTCGCCAATCAACGGTGAATTATGATAATCCAAACCACCGCCATGCGATGGCCGGTAATCAATTACGGACTGCATCGAAAATGGATTTTATTTATTCTGATTTTCACAAAATTTTGTTTTTTTATCAAATGTTTTTTTTTTCGTTTTGTTTTTGTCAACACCAAATTAGATGCAATTTGGAAATTTTCTCCGGTCGATCGGTGTGTGTTTATTTTTAATCACAAAAGTTTGTCGAATTTTTTTTTTTAGTTTAGTGCTTTGAAGAAAAATAAATCATATCACTTAATCACTTGAATTGGAATTTAGTTCATTTTTTTCCTCGCTCTCTTGCTCGCTTCAAAATCATAAAAAAACAATCAACTGTCCACCAAAAGTCATTCGAAATTGTTGATAATAACAAAGTTTATTTTTTTGACGCTGGTTCGAAACACATAAAAAACTGCCGGAAAAAGCAAACGTTTTTTTAAAACCGTTTTATTTTTTA